GAACATGTATTTAAAGAAATATAAGAACAAATATAAAATACTTTCGATCTGATCAAAGTTCTGTCTGAACCAAGAAGCAACCACGCATGGAAAATCAATTACCTGCACATGTACTAGCTTTCAAAGATAAAGGATATCTATTAAAAAAATATCTAGAGCGGCACACGACAATCTATCGAAGAGTTCTCCAAAGCATTCCTACCAGGAAGCAGAAAGGAACAGAAGCAACAAACAGCATGATGCGTCTACTGTCATTACGACATTTATCGTTTCAAACATGAAAACAACTAGGTGTGACAAATCATTGACTCCGTAGGCAAATAGATAAAAAATGTCCTCAAATCTTTTCTTCAATATGAATCCTCTTGATGCTTATTTCATCAATCACTCCCACAATCTTGGCAAATTAACTTTCGTAAACTCGTCGTTCTGAGAAAAAAGGGCGGCTATACACAAGCAACGTCGTCCTTTCAACATATCCACCGCGCACGATCTTGCGAGAAGTCTCGCGAGTTAGTTCCTTGATTTTAAAAGCTAAACCGTGATTGGCTAAAAAGGTTTGACATCACGGAAATCGTTTTGCCGCTCGGGTTCGCAGACGCTATTTTCGGAGGGAGAGAAGCGACGACCGGAAATGCGTCTGCTGTTCGCAGGCTAGGCCCGAACCTATGTATTTGCGCATTGATTATGTTTTTGAATCGGGTTGTTTGGCAGGAATGATTTAACCGATTTCTATGATTTATGGAATCCTTAATAAAGAATGGTCGAACGTTAAGAAAATGCTGTTTATTTTCTTCTAGGTATAAAAACGTTTGAGATATTGGCACATGTTTAAAACCACATTTTTACAAAAATGGCAATTTTAAAATCTTCAGGCAGATTTTTCTCTAGCTTCGGCAAATAAGCCTCAGAGGTCTCTAGTTTTGTATCTGCAAGTTTGAAGAGGACTACGGTCACGATTGACTTCAAAGTTGCAGATATAAGACCAGAGAGTTCTGACGCTTATTTGCCGAATTTAGAGAAAAATCTGTCTTGGGTTTTCGAAATTATTGACATTTTTTGTAAAAATGCAGTTTTAAACATATGCCGATATCTCAGACGCTTTTAAATCTACAAGAAAATAAATAACATTTTCTTTAAATTCGACCATTCTTTATTAAGGCTGCCAAAATCGTAGAAATCGGTTGAATCATTCCTGCCAAAAAACGCGAGTCAAAAACATAACCAACGCGCATATAAATTAGTTCGGAC